AAAGTTTGCAATACCTATGTTGTTTCTCCCTCACTGACTCGCCGCTTTCGCTCGGTGATGTCACACTTGAGGCGCTCTCAGTCAAGTGGATCTATATCTAGATGAATATGCACCGGCTAACTTCACTCTGTCCAGCCCGGACATTATTAGCTTCGGGCTTGCCTCGTCAACAAAATTTACCCTCATAGGTCACTCTTTCTCAGCATTATTTTCGCGGAGGCGGATGACTTGCTTCACTTTCACTCCGTCTTCACCCACATCGGGGAGCTTATCAAATGTACTCTGTAAAATCTCCACCTCCTGATAATAGCGTGTCTGAGGACTTGGATCGTTGGATTCAAGCACGTGCAAAATCATCAGATTTAATCGCCTCTTGTCATTCAAAGTGGTCCTTGCGGTTGGCGGGTAGCCTGGAGGCTCGCTTGAGCTGGTTTGTTGTTGGTTAGCAGCGAGAATTCTCTTCGTTTCGCGGCTTCTCATCGTTGCGTTTTTCATGGCTCCTCATTCATTGGATATTCATTTGGGTCTCTAGAGCTAGCGGAGCGCAAGATCAGCAGGTCGTAATCCTCATTTGGTGCTGGGCTTCTGGAAAAATTAAAATGGCGTGGTATTGAATTGTCAAAGGAGGGAAATGGTTGGAAGGCTGGATCGAACTTGGGATGGAATCTAGGCAAGTTTGCGTGACAGTATGTCTAGAACTGCTCACAGTCGAACATCTTTTTCCGCGAGCTGCATCGGTAGACGTTATGCATTTTCTTGGTTACCTTAGACTGTGACAACCGGTGTACAAACTTCGGTTAAAACCATGCTGAATGCAATGCGAGAGACGAGAGGAGTCGACAACTAATACAACACACGAAATATGAAATATAACAGCAAACAAAACGCGTAAGGACATTTGCCTTGTTTCCGATTATTTTCGTACAGGAGTCACGAGTTAATTTCTTCGGCATTTCGGATAAATGTCATAAAATCACGTAAAATGGTGAGGCAGAATTCATGAGACGGAACTCCGAAATCTGCGGAAAGTTTCCCCACAAAAAATGATCTAGAAATTGCAGGATCAGAAATGACACTGAATGATGCCGACATTTCCACAAATTAATTTCAATATGCCGATAAATCCACAAGGGAGTATACTGACAAAGTAGTCACGGAGTGAGCAACCGGATGTCACATGCGGTCGAATGCTTCCGTTTAATCACACAGAGATCACTTATTTTCCGCGTCGTTTAGTCCCATAACCTACTGTTGCCTCATTGCTGTCATGGTGTTTACCGTTGACAACGAGTACGTCAGTTCCTCCGTGTGATCACCCATCGGTTTGGTTTCACTGCTACTCATTCACTTTTCATATCTTTTTATGTCAACGCAAACTCTACTGGCTGCAATTTCCGGGATGCTCCTCCGGTACACTAAGCGGATCTAGAATGCCCTGTATTGATGGCTACAGGTTCCAGTGGTTGGATTCTTAGCAAGATTATCGACAACAACGGCAGACTTGTAGCATATGTGAGAGGTTATTTGGCTCTCATTGGGAAATACTACTGAGCTACTCATTGAGAATTCCAATTGTGTTCTGGATGGACGGCACTTGGGAAGCCAATCATATTGTTTCCCAAATAACATCTAATGGTTGAGATCTTCACGCAATGTATGTACTCGCCGGTGTCTATGATATCCTTAAAGTGCAACAACGCCCTCTGTCTTAAAGTAAGAGACAAATATGTGCGACATATACATTGCCGGAAACACAGACAAAGATACACAACTGCATATTCCCCATGCAGGAGCATGATATTAACTGTACATATATCTGTGTCAAATATGGACGTAGCTTCTCATTTGGTAAGGAATACGCCTATTATCATTATTTTATTATTAATGTCACTACCAATTTAAAAGCTGTTCCTTATGCAACCTTGTCTTAGGTAGCCTGGTCAGCTCCGTCATGGTTGGTGATAATACTATCATTAAGGTGTAGATATGGTGCCCTGCATTCTCTTTTAAGTGGGTCAATCGTGTTTCACCCTTACAAGTAACCTATTTAAGTCCTCACCGCGACGGTGCCCACAGTTACGGAATACACTTTTTTCTGATCTCACCTGCATCCATCTAATCCCAACCCCTCCAGGGCGGAATCTATTCATGAGGTATCCACGCTTCCCACAGCATCCGGAAATGTACATAAAAATCAGCATTCTGTTCTTCGTATTTATCACAAAAACCATGATTGCTCTGCTTTGTATTAGTCCTGGGCCATCTTACTTGCCGACAGCCATGATCTTCGTAACCAATACTCATGGCTCTCATTTGAATCATTTCTGTACTAACCTGGACGTTTATTACTTTAATTCACTGCGTTTCGTTTCATGTTTCATCATCTTAACATCTGTAACTAGTTTCTCGGCGATCCGCTTGGTGTTTCTTGTGTAATCTACCAGCTTTAAATCTACGCACAACCGATGTGCGATATCCGCAAGGTTGGTGTGGCATAGGATCTTCAGAACAGAGACTTCACTGCACCGGACAGTGTATTGACCAAACGTCAAGTAAATACGACACACGCAAGACAGGCGACAATATGGAGTAAGCTCAGAGGATGTCAGATTGGCCAGCTCACACGATAGATGGCCTCAAACACACGGAAAACAATTGATTCATTTGGGTGAGTGCATTCCATGGCGGGCGCCGTGCGATAACAACGAACGCGTTTGCACACGATCGACTGCTGTCCCGAGGAAAGTGCTTTTGAAAATCCATTGCTTCACTAAGGACACAGTAGCAAATTCCAGCTCGTTACGTGAAATTCCTATACACCAGGCCTGCCTTTTTGAAATCGCAGGTTCCTGGGTTGACTTATAAAAGCACCTAATGTTTTGACTTAGCCGTGGCGTGCTCTAGTGATTTCATTCATGAACGCGAGTCCTCTTTAAGCGAATTAACTTTTGATTTAGGCTGCACTCCTAACTGTCTATTACTGATTGTTTTTCACTCATTTGTGCTTAGTTCGAAGTATCTGGCAATTGTAGGTCCTATCATTCATATTTCTACTCCTCTAAGTTGAGTAACATGTTGACGAAGTCGCGCCTCGAGGATGGATGACTCTAGAGAATCAACATCGTTGACCACAGCATTGATGCTCGCATTGCACACCCAATAGAGTTCTGTAGGGTCCGTGATTTTGTTTTCAGTGAGGTAGCGAAAGGGTTGAAATTTCCGCGAACTTCTCATATAGACTCAGCCAAGCAACCACATCCCATGGAAGATGACGTTGAGTATCCACTTCATCATTCCGCCATTTCTCTGCCAATTGTACCCGTCAAAGTCCACCTCTCCCCAGGCACCGGCTTGAACCCATAGGTAATGAGCGATGAGGAGTGCCAACATATCTCCTTCTCTAACTGCATTACGGTTTGGCCCGACCTCCACTACCATGCTCCCATATGAATGATGTACTATGGAGCAAACCACCACTGAGGTCTGCTTCACGGGTCCCGGACCTAAATCATCCTTACTTACCATGACTCCATCGCACACCGACTCTGGATTCACCCGACTCTCCGTATTTGTTATCAGGCTGCTTATTCATGCACACTAAAAATGCCACCTTAATTGGTAGCGGAATACCTCTGCAACCTTAGCTCAAAAACCAACAACACCAAAAATGACCTCTCAAATACGTCATTCTAGTGTTTAGTGTAACGACGAACGCATGAGCATCCATGTGGTTGCTGCGCTTTTGGGTGTTGCACCTCGTTCGATGGATGCTCACGGTGGATCATGCCTCTATCCGCCCTATTTTCGGTAGCCCGCATATTTTCATCTATTCATTGCCGTCTGCAGGATGGCGTCTCGGGGACAGTATATCTGTGTCCAGGTCCGCACATTTTTACATCTTTTGTATATTGTTTAAATGTGTTGTTACTTTTATTCATTAAACAATCTGCACTCATATTAGGGAGGCGTCAGTCTGCTCGTTGCATCCGAATCAAGGCATCCTCTCTGTCTATCTTCCTATATAGAATGCTACTAGAGCTTCACTGTTTCCACTGGACTATTGGTTGCGAATATGACTCCCACTTGTGTGTATCAGTTGGTATGGTAGATCGCACTTAATTCCGAACTGGTTTATTCATCCTTCCACCTTATGTCGGTTGGGTACGAAACATTTGGTCGGAGACAAGTGTCATGCACGCATGTGAAACATATAGCCCACTAACCACTGATTTTAGGGCACATTTTACATATACAATTTACCTAGTTCGTTACAGTGAGCCCTATGCTTCAGTGCCACTCGGTAACTATCCGTTTAATTTTTGCGGCAATTGGGACACCATGCTCGCCCACTTCCCTTTGGTCTTTCGTACATGGTTGGCGGCATCCGGTTTCGGATTTGCCTGTCACTGTGGCCAGCCACAGGACGCTTGCGCCTACAAAGGGACCATGGGTGGCTGTCGCTGCACCACGCACAGCTCCAACCGCACACCCCATATCCAGTGCAAACCCGAAGGAGTAAGACCGGGAGGTATGTGGAATGGAGCCACCTTTCATCAACGGAGCCGGCCCACACTTTCGTACATATATACATACAAACATACTAGCTGTCAATTCAGCTGTGTCTATGCCAAACTCTTATCATCGGATGGCGAAATAGCGTGCTTATTTTTTAGGTACGATGGTATCGGTTACTGGCGAAAAAATCAATCCATTTAAGCCATCTGGTCTAAACTTTCTTGCTTACTGTTAGGTATGTGATCGGAGCTATTTACGAACGATGAGAATCTGCTTTTCCATAAGATTCAGCCGAAACAAGTTAAAACAAATTATGATGTCCTTCTTTGGTAATTGGTGTAAATGCACATGGGTGCTTTTTCTCATTACTTGCCTCCTCGGATACGATCGTAAAAGACTCCTTTCTACTACATCTGTCTACCGCTTTCCAATTGACTCGCAACATACATGTTTGAATTCAGTGTGACTAGATAAAATCCCATAGTATGGAATCTAAATGGCGTAGATTCCATATTCATATATTTATCTCACCAGACATGTCTGGAATATGTTGGATAGACATCTAACTTGTCACTGAGAATTTGAGCATGTGCTTAATTGTGCATGAGTTATTCAGTCGATTCGACTACCTAGGTAACATCCTTGAAGTCCACACTTCCCCGTATCCCATTCATATCCCAGAGGTTTAGAAAACGTTGCTCCTTTCAAACTCCTGTAATAAAATGATAGTGCCCTTGATCCATGTGTGGTAACTGCGTACACAAAAGTTCCAGGGTCCTCTGCAATCTCCGATTTTCTGCCTTTAGGTGAAGCAACTTTTGTCCATCCTCTGAACCATTACGATAGTCATAATCCTCCTGGGCTTTAATCGTATGTTTCTCACGATTTGCCTCTTCTTGTTGGTACTGCGAAAGTTTATCTTGCAACTTCTCGAGTTCACTTTGAGCACTGACTAATTCAGCTTCCGTCTTGTCCATCTCGGACAACTCTCGTTTTAGCGCGTTGCACGTCTGACCGAGCGTCGTGGTTAAGTACTGGGAATATAAACGTAAAAGCAACAAAAGATTGCATGAGAACATGCGATCTTAAACCTCGCACAAAATTGGGGTTCTTATCACAAGTACTATGCATATGGTAGCGGATTCCTATGCAATGTTATGTGTGCAATGCTTTCTCTTCCGGTTCTCAAACGACATAGCTTATTCACACCCGCTCATCGCGATTGTTTAGTATTTCCTACCAGTCAGGTGAGTGTTGGGTCATACCCATGTGATCTAGTGATTTGGACTGCATCGTAATTTTTGCAGGGCGCTTAACCAAGGCGTCTGCCTACATGTGGCTGTAGTTTTCACTTAACAATCGGAATATGCATTGACTTTCTGCATCACAGTTTTCGGCAAACCGTCGGAACCCCTTCATCCAGCACTACTCGTATTCCCTAATTGTGTATCGCTTCTAACACTACTAGGTAATGGGTAATAAATATTGTGATCGCTAACATGCATTTGCAGTTAGGCAGTGGATTTGTCTTGATCGCCTGAGGTTGGCGGAACACCGGCACAGACGTTCATTTGTGAATCCAATTCCCAAAGGTATACACTTGAACCTCCGTAAGTTGATCTCTCCAGGGCCGGACCAAAATGGTCAGCATATGGAGGTCTTTTGCAAAATCTTAGCGTATTTTACTTTCCCGTTGTGAGTAGCACAGTGTGAAGTTTCTTTTCACGTACACATTGTTTCGAACATATTATGTGAGCTATTACATAACGACTTGAACAGATCAGTCATACAGTAACATAATAAATCAGAACGCTGCGCGTTTTCCTCAAGGTTAAATCATGTTTTAAAGAAAAGTCGATCTCTGTTTCTTTTATCACGAGTGTGAATGAAAAAACACTCAGCGCGAGTACCACTACTCAGCATGTTTGGGCATTTGCCACAGCGTATAACCTCAGTTGCATCAAACGGTGTTTGATATAATCATTTTTTGCAGCTTCTGTGCTTTCCATGTCATCTTTACTTAGTTCTTCATCATTAGTCGTTTTGTGTTCGTTCCGCAAATGTGTATCGCAGATACAAAGTATCTTACAAGTCAGCGGTAATGGTGACGCCGCTAGCGTGAATGGGTCGCATTAACTCCTGGCTACCAAGCGGTTGTTGCTTAAAACATTCCACATTCGTTCGTGCATTCGATTGAAAAATTGGGTGTAGTGATCAACAACTATCTCTGGAGCCCAAGTAATCTACAACGCTTCTTCCTCGCTTTGGAATGCAGTTTGGAATTTCGGGGTTCAAGGTCCAACAACTTTTGTTGCAAGTGTCCACACATAGGCTCGTCCGTGTAAACTGAACAATCCCGGCAAGTAACTGACTAGCAATTGACATGCTGCTGTTGATAATTCGTGTTCTGTTCCACATATTAGTCACGACAGTGAATGTAGCTATATTTCCCTCTGTTCATCCGTCAAACTGAACTTAGATGCGCTTAGGAAAAGGCAGCTATTATCGAGATAAGTAGCGGAAAGACAAAGATGTCTGCTAGAAATTGAATTAGAGATGGCTAATCATCTGGATTGACTTAGAAGTAGGTTAGTCCAACTGTGATGGCAGGGTAATGTTTAAGTAAATATTGCATTAAAATATAGATCCACGCACAGCAACAATGGAATTGTAGCGCAAAATAACTGCAACCGAGATGTATCATGACAGACTGTTAGTAAATTGTAAGCGGCAAAATTACCCTGAGAATCGCAGGCTGAATGTGAAGACCATACGTCAGCTAACCACTTTACCTGCGTTATCTTGCGGGGTTCTTGATACTTATTATTTGTCTACTCCATGCGATTAACTATGCAGTGATCAATGTTTTCATTGCAAATCGCATCATGGGTATGGAGATTTGTTTCGGATAATATTATCTGACATTCATTGTTTTACTACCCATGTCTTAGTGGTTCCATTCCAACCGCCGCTGTTAGCTACGATCGTGTCCATAATGTGTAACATGCCCAGGTGTCCCACCACATACTAACTTGAGATATCCTCCAGTCACAGGGGGTCATCCCCCGTGTTATTCCCTTCATTCCCCATTGGCCCGAAGACACACTTTACTCACCATTCGATGCGGTGTTAAGTGAACCAATCGCGTAGTGTTGTAGGATCCATTTAAAGAGGCGAGCCAATTCCGCGCAGGACTGTATTGTGGTCGCGTTGAACGGTGGCAATTGAGGTGATTTGCCTTCTTTCTGTGCCTTACAAAGACCCGGTTGTTCTGGAACTGAGGTATGTACATATTTCACGTGAGTTCTATATTTTTTAATTGTGCCGTAGGTAACGTCTCGGCTTCGTTTCTTGATTGGATTCGGGAGTTTTTACGTGTCACTCGAGCCCCAAGCGAACCTGTCGCTTACATAAATAGCTTATCCTCACAGTAGGATATACAGCTATATTTGCCTACTTTTGTAAATTTGATAAAACAGTTTGCACACTTTTTCGAAAGCCCAATGTAGAACAGGGAGCAGCGGGACTTACTAGATATGTTATTGATGTGATAGCGTCAAAGAGGCCATCAAAGAATGTGTGATATTATCGCCTACTAACGCATATAATAGACGGCATCTGCAATACAGACTAACGACAAGACATCACTGTTTTACGGTACCTGTTATTTGTGCATCATTCCACCTAGTAGCCCCATTGATGGCATTTGCTTCCCTATTCCTATATCTGTCTCTATCTATTGTTGATGCCCACACTTCTGACTACATTTAAGGCTGCCATTTAGGTTCACATCCAAACGTTAACTAACCACCGACAGTCGTATTGGTTGCTTATAATTGTACGTGCGATTTTCCAAAACTAGAGGAATATGGCTGTTATTCTCTTATTCAATCCCAACTCATGCATGTACGTAGTGTTCTTGTGCATGAGGGTTACTGTTTCTCCATCCAGTTTGTGATAGTCCATACACAAGTGTGAACAAATGCCCGCTCGCAACACTGCAGTACTGCAACTCGAACCAGGGACCTTTGGTATGTCAACTGATATCTCTACTCGCAGCCACACCCGGGAAGCTCAATCAACATCATGTTGAATGACTAAGCGGAAGCCATTTAGAAACACTTACAAGTGCCACACTTCAGCTTGACAGACTGCTCGCATTTTCACACGCGTGACGCCATTATCTGATAACTCGATGTCAAACTGGGACTTGCCCAAATTACAGGTGGCGCTAACATCTGTTCGTGTCTCGTTACGTTCCCACGGGACTACCTACACGGACGATGATTAAGACCTTAAGCCCTTCACCAAGTACACATCGAAAAAATGATTAGTCGCCGGCCACTCACTGGTCGGTGAAACTTCACGTATGAGTTGCACAACCTCCGAAACATTACTTAAATCTCAGAGGCTTTCATGTATGTACACTACGCCCAAGGGCTCCACAGTAAACTTGCCGAACTTCGACTACATCAGGTTACGAATGCTTGGGACCTAATTTCTATTACCGAAACTTGGGTACATCAAGTGGTGACTGATACTGAAGTTGAGATAGCCGGAATGTCACTCATCCGTAACGACCGCCCCATCAGAGGACGTGGGGTCCTACTCTACTACCGCAGCGACCTGCAATGTGCAGTGGTTGACGATCTGGAAACTTACAGTACTGACACTCTGGTGCCGTCTCCGACTAAGCCACAACCACGAATGTGTCGTAGCTGTCGTTTACCGCCCCCTCCCCAACGTCCACTCCGGAAATGGATTCCCGCTTGATACGTCGCCTGAACAGAGTAACACGCACTAGGTACAGCCACATTCTTATCTCCGCGGAATTCAATCTACACGATTTGGAGGTATCGGCATCACCCAGTAAACAGTTCAAAGCAGACTTGCATGAATTGATCGCTAATATTCCTTTGTCCAGTCATGTCCCTACGCCCACTAGATTCAGGACAGCAAACAAACCGTCCATATTGGACCTTGTGCTCACGAATGAAGAGCTCATGGTTGACAAGTTATTGATGGATAGTCCATTAGGTCTCAGTGACCATGTAGTAATAAGGTTCAACTATGTGTGTTATGCAAAGTATCCATCTAAACACTCGGAACTAACTCATACAATCACACGCTATCACGTATTGAAAGAACTCGTCGACGCAGCTGGTTGGGTATTCTCAAACAGCAGTCCCTTTGACGACGTTTGCACAGAGTCTGTTGATAGACTCAGCGACATCGTCAAGAGAGCATCAGAGACCAAACCACTTCGTCCCGCAAAAATGCCTTCAATTCTAAGGAGCAGGACTCGAAAATGCCTGGCGATAATGGATGCAGCATGGCGTGCCTACAGAGTTAACCCCGACTCAGAGACTTGGGGCAATTTCCTGACCCATCACAACCATTGCACTGCACTTGTCCGTGAAGACAAAGTAACTTCTCAACTGTGCCTAACGAAAATCTTCCTGGCAAACAACAAACTGTTATCTAGGCATGTCGATAATCTTCGTAAAGTGAAGCATGGAATCCCTCCACTTTTCACGACAGGCGGAAGTACAAAGCGCCGAAAAAGCAGCTAATGTCCTGCGGCTACAATACGCCCCAATTTTCGAACTCGCAATTGTGCTAAGGAAGTTACTCTCACTGCGTGAGCATAGTTCTCCTGGAGCAGACAACATCCGCCCGAAGGCACTGAAGGCTGTGGCTAATAAGCTAGCTGAACCACTGTCACAGTTCTTCCAAAGGTGCTTTGATGCACAACAAGTCCTCACTATGTAGAAGCTTGACATTATCGTCCCAATTTTTAAAGGCGGTAGCCGTTCCGATCCTGCAAACTCTCGCCCAGTGACTCTCCTTCCTGTGCTCGCGAAGGTGATGTAATCAGTCGTCGCTGAGGCTTTAGTGGACTACCTGGAAAAATACAACATCTTGGTGCCGGAGCAGCATGGCTTCCGTCAACACCGGTCATGCACCACCAACCTACTGATTGCATGAGGTAGTTGGACAGAAGTGGCTGATGATGGGGTCGGAGTTGACGTCA